GTCTAGATATCATTGTAGATATAAAATTGTTTTGTAATTAGTCTAAATTAACTTTACTCTACCCTAAACCGATTCTGATCACATAAAAAGAATTTGTTACATTTTTCAAGGGATTTTCATAAATTTTCCGACTTTTCCGACAGTAACCAAGCATTTAACCAAGCACATTTTTTAGTAACCAAGCAGTTATTTGTAGACCACAAAATATTTTAAAATATTTTATGATATGTTTTTATCCCTTTTGCTCTTATTCCAACTTAATTCTTATTTTTCGGACTTTTCATTGATTAATCACTCATTTTCACCACTTTCCCGAAGGTATGGGGGGAAATGAAGGTTACTACTCGATTCCTGGGCTTAAAATGTATAAGGATTCACTTGAAATTTACTTCTCGGTCGGGGCAAAAATCGACTCTTTTTTAACATCCTCCTTTGGTAATAATCATTTCGTAGAAATATTAATTGTAAAACGTATGAATGTTGATTAATTTATTTTTATGTAATTTTTTCCAACGATTTTTTATTCCATAGTATTTCTTCTGATTAAATACTATAGTATCCAAAATTAAAGTTGGATATACTGGAAATCAAAAAAACCTTTTAATTTAACTAATAATGGTTTTGTAATGTAAGTTGAAAAAAACAATATGGTAATTTTTAAAAATGTTGACGTTTTAGAAATTATTTGTAAAATATTTTTACATATATTTGTATATTATTTAATTTTATGTAATATTTTCCAATTTATTTCATATTAATGCTTCTGAGTAAATTACATAAAAAATTAAAATTTCTTTGTGCACGAATTTAACAAAAGTTTTTATATAACTCAAAATGATTTTGTAATGTGAGTTGAAGAAACGTTATTCTAACAAATATTAGTAACTTTTGAAATGCAGGCCTCGGATATTATGACTTTTTTTACTATTTTCAAATAATGCTACTTTTATCGACTTATATTAAAAAATGCGACTTTTTAGATTTTTTTTTCAAAAAATTTTGCGACAAAATACCGCATTTTTAGTATAAACTGCAACATATTTTGATTTTTATTAATTTTAAAAGTATATTAGAAAAATCTTTGAAAAGTTAATTTTGAATAATTTTTCTAATGAAATTTTCGAAATATATAATTAAATAGCTTTTGTATAATTGAATTTTCGTAAAATTCAATTGAAAATAATTGATTTTTTTCAAATATTTTATTATAAATTTTGAAAAATCAACTTTTGAAGAATTTCAATTTGCAAAATTGTGAAAATAATTGAATTCTCAAAAATTTTAATTTTTCATTCATTCTAATTATTGAAATTCAATTATTTTCAATATTTTCGAAAATTCAAATACATATAAAAAATAATAATTTATAATATTATTTACAATAATAATATTTATAATAATAAAAAAACATTTTGTTGAAAATAGTCATATTCAAAAGTTTTAATTAAAATTCTTTAAAAAATTAAATCTTTTTTTAAATTATACAAAAATTCTTTTTATAAATTCAATTATTTTCAAAAAATTACATTAGATATTTATAAAAAACGAATTCTTAAAATTATTTTATCATAATTGTTTAAAATTCAATTAACTTCGAACAAAGTAAAATAAAATTTTTTTAAATTTATTTTTCTAAACTTATTAAAATTTTTTGAGAAATTATTTATAGGTAATTAAAATTATTTAAAAATTTGATTATTTTTTTATAGTTTTTAAAAACTCAATTATTTTTAAAAGCTTTTATTTAATTTAAATTATTTTTCAAAGATTTTATCAAATTTCAATTATTATTTTTCTAAAAAGACTTTATCAAATTTAAATTATTTTTCAAAGATTTTACCAAATTTTAATTATTTTTTAAAAGATATTACCAAATGATTCAATTATTATAAAAAATTAAATTTTTGTATTTAAATAATTGAATTCTCGAAGAACTTTCGGAAAATGATTAAAAATTAATTGTGATATAGTTGCAGAAAAGAGTTCTTCAGATAATGATTCATCAGTTTCCTTAGATTATAGATCACCTGAATACACAACAGATTCTGATGAGTCTTCTTACTCTTCTTCGGAATCGTCGAATGCGGATGAGAGAATTGAAAATGAAGATGAAATTTCTGGGGAATTAACACTTCGTCAAAAATTGCAAAATTGGGCTTGCAGTTTTAGAACAAATCTTACCGTTGAATCAATCAAATCCCTTTTGAACGTACTAAGAGACCATCATCCAGAATTACTAAAATCAGCAGTTACATTATTGGCGACAAAATCGAATATAGAAGTTCGGAATATGAAGAGCTTAAAAGAGACCAATGGACGCTATGTATACTTTGGCATAGAAGAAGGGCTGAAAAACATCATTACTGATCAATACACCGAAGATGTAATATGTCTGTTATTTGATGTTGATGGCTTACCTTTATACAGCGGTTCAAGTGAGCAATTCTGGCCGAATTTGGGACAATTATTGCATAAAGATTATAAGTCTGAACCATTTATAGTTGCAGTATTCAGTGGTGATTCTAAACCTCAAAGTGTGGATGATTATTTGAGCGACTTTTTTAATGAAATAAATAATTTAATAGAGAACGGAATAATCATCAATAATCGTCACTATCGAGTGGAAGTTAGTGGTTTCTCCTGTGATACACCGGCAAGAGCATTTCTAAAGAAATGTAAAGGACACGGAGGATTCTATAGTTGCGAACGGTGCAAAACAAGAGGAAAAACAAAAAATAATAAAAGAATATTTCCAAATGTCTCTGCAAATCTTCGTACCAAAGAATCATTTACGATTAAAGAACAAAAAGAACACCATTTGGAAGGAACATCTCCACTGCTAAATATTTTGAATTTTGATCCGGTTAAGTCAGTTTTATTAGATTTGATGCATTTATTATATTTAGGTATAACGAAATGGATTCTACAGCAACTGCTGGGATATGGAAAGAAAGTAAATCGAAAAGTAAAACTCAGCAAAAATTAAAAATGAAAATTTAAAACTTCATTTGGGCGAATTGATTAAATATATCCCGGACGAATTTCAAAGAAAGACAATGGATTTAGAGAAATTTAATTATTGGAAAGCGACACAATTTCGATTTTTTTGCACTATGTTGGTCCTATTGTTTTACACGAAGCTCTTTCAAAGAATATGTTTCGTCACTTTCTTCTTTTGGCAGTTGCTTGTAGAATTCTTTGCGACCCTGACTTAGCTGTGGATAATGTTAACTATGCGCGAATGTTACTCACTAATTTCTTTAAACTTCTTCCGACATTTTATGGATCAGATTCGCAAGTGATGAATCATCATATTCTCATACACATTGCTGATGATGTGGAGCACATGAAAATGGACTCATCTTCCATTTCAGCGTTCCCATTTGAAAATAATTTAGGAAAAATAAAGCGCAAAATAAAAGGACGAAGTAAACCTCTTGAACAATTAGTTAGGCGGATATCAGAAGAATCAGTTTGTTCTGAAACTACAAAAAAAGGCAGTAATTCGAAAAAAACGGTCATAGCGAATCCTATTGGGATAGATGCAGCTGACATCGATTTGGAAAGTTTGATATTACGTGGTGTGAAGTTAAATTCATCGAAGTCGGATAGTATTGTTCAATTAGACACTGGAGATATTTTTCAAATCAGCAAAATGAGAAAAGTATTAGACAACATATTTGTGCATGGGCGCTTATTTAAATCAGTGACGAATGCCTTTAACTTTCCTTGTGACTCTAAAAATGTGGGAATAATGAAGCTCGGAAGATTGTCTAAAAAGGAAATAATTATTAATATACAAAATATTAAAAAAATGCGTTCTTTTTGAAAATAGAAATAATATTTTCGCAGTATCATTACTTCACAATTAAGAACGTTTCCTGTTTTTGCATATTTGTAATTAATGAATTCCATTAATTTTAAAAAAGGTACTGAATAATATGAATTGAGTTCTACCTTTTATGTATTCTCTTTATTTAAAAAGTCGATTACATAAATTCGTTACTAATTTTGTAATAAATAGTTTTTTAATTCTGTTTTTTAAAGTACAGAAATCCTAAAATGGAGGAAATAAAATTCTCCGCAAAGACGACTCACATTGTGATTTTTTTCGTTGGCACAAGTAGAAATGGGAAATCTTTAATTGATGTCGTTCCAATCAACTGGATTTACAGAAACCAAAATAAATTGTACAGCTTTTACCCATCAAGGAAGGAATATTCTAGCCTGGAAAAAATGTCAAAAAATTCATTAGAACCGCAGAAGACATGGAAGGAGTTCGAAATTAATTTATTAAAAGAAGCAGGTAAATATTTAAATAAGAAAATATATAAAAAAAGTATATTTATTCATTAAACACATGTGAAATTTTTATTAAAAATTTTGATTTTCAGAAAGCTACGATTAAGGTAAAAGAAGAATGGAAAGAGCATTCACTGATACCATAGTTCAAAGCAGCCAGATTGACGATAATGATAGTTCTGAGAAAGAAAAAAGCCCCTTAAAATTAAGTGCATTACAAGTCGAAAATTCTTTGAATAAAATCCCTTCCTGGAGTCTCTCATGTCGAAAATAAAGATATATATATATATATATATATATATATATATATATATATATTCTATAGGTATTTGTTGTAAAGTTTTTCAATCTATCTAAATTTAATTTCTTTTTATTCTAATCAAATTTAATTTATATAAATCCCAAATAATCTAAATTTCAATCTATTAAAATTTTTCAATTTAAATATTAATCGATTCAACTTTCAATAAATCCTAATTTTTATTGGTCGAAATATGTATTAATTTAAATTTTGCTGCATTACAATTTCATTAAAATTTTAAATCAAATAAATTTCAATTTGTGTCTATTTTTAATTTAACTCAACATGGATTAATTAAAATTTAATAAAGATATAAAAATAATAAAAAAAGAATAGTTTTTAACCCTATGACTTTTAGATTTATATTTAATTAAATTTAACAAACAAAGTCAATAGTAGTAATAATTGCCTGCAACTAATTAAATTAATACTTTTATCAGATTTTTGTCAACATGTATAACTTTTAAAATAGGTCGAAAGAATTTATTAGCCTCTCTTATATCAACTCCAAGTAGTGATAATGTTGTTTCATCTTCAAGTCCTACCAAGATCAAAAGGAAAACCATAAGAAAACGTAGTCGTATGTATTTCACCTTAAATAAATAGTATTTTTTAATTTTGTACACATTTTGTGTTTATATTATTTAAATAATAATGAATGATTATAGGTAGTACGTTAAAAGATTCCAAGAAGAAACCCCGTTCCAGTTTTTCATCGAGTGCTTCATCGACTTGTTCCATACCAAGAAAAATCTGGAAATTGTCATCATTTTCGCAAGAAAATGAAAAAAATACGAAATCTATTAGAATATCGTCATCATCGCAGGATTCAATTTCTTTGGTCGACGCAAAGAAAAATGCGAAAAATATCTTTACAAGAGATAAGAAAAGAACTCACAAGACGCAAAATGGAAAAACGACTCCTAAAAGTAAATTTTTTTTTCTATTTATATATCTTCCATTTACTACTATAATATTCTTATGCACCATTATCAAAAGTTTTGCTATCCTCCTTTTTTTAAGAATATCTTTTATTTTCTAAATTACATTTAATACATTTTTTTAATTTTAAGCAAACATTCTAAAATTTAACTTTTTGTGGTATCTCACATGAAAACATATAATCCAATCTATGTATATGTATTTGGCCTATTATTTCCATAATTTTAATAACCATTATTTAGTGTTTTTAAGAAAAGAAATTAATTAATGTATTTAAGATTTCAAATTGTACACTTGCAATTTTGATTATTCAATATTTTATTAAGAATTATAAAAATTTGGAAATAATACAAAATATTTATTGAACTAATTTTTCGAAAATTTTAAAGCAAATTACAATAATTGTTTAAATATTTAAGAAAATAATTGACAATTCAAGATGTCTAATTTGAAATGACCCATACTGTACATGTGAGTAATTTTCTTATTTATTCTAGAAAAAGAAGCTATCAATCGCTGTCCAACTTGCAGGAAAACTGGTAAAAGTTTTAATATTGTCTTATGCATTATTACTTACAATTATTGACATTATTTGTTTTATTTTAGACGACATATCTACAATAAAATCATACGTAGAATCGATGAAACGTAGCCTTGAATATCGAATTAAAGAAGAATCTCGAATTATTAGAGATCATATATTAAAAACAACTGGAGTTAAAAAAACATTGATGACGTATTGAAAATGAGCCAAATAGAAGGAATTCCAGCAGCTGAATTGGATGAATTTTTGAAGTTTGATAATAAATTGAAAACTGATGAAGTTCTAATAATAAATGTGGTAAATAATATATTGTTTATTAATGAAAAATAATTATTTTAGAACTATTTAATTAATTTATTATTATTTATTTCTAGAAACATATGATGACAATGTACGCCAATAAAGAGAGAATGTACAATAGTTTTACCAGCGTGATCCCAAAAATAATGAATAAAAGTGTCCAACTATTTTACACAGCATTTGGCCGAGAAACTAAAGGGAAAATAAAACTGAATTTTTCTGCAACTGAAACTTATAAGTGCTTAAAAGGTATAAAACTCTTACATTTTACTCATCAGGGAATTCAGAGAAAGTAGAATTGCTTATGTAAATCAGAAAGAAGTCAGGGAGTTTTATTAAAAATTCAGGAAAAATTGAATTTTTAAAACTCTTTTTAGGAAGTCAGTAAAATTATTCATAAATTTCTTTGCAATAATTCAATTATTTTCATAAATTATCAAAATCATCGCAGAATTTAAATTATTTTTAATTTAATTTCAATCAAATTCTTCCCAAAATTTAATTTTTTAAATTCGTCGGAAGAATTCAATTCAAATATTCAATAAATTATTTATTTAAATAGTTGAAATTGAATGTTAATGAATTTCAAAACGGCTTGAATTTAAAATTTTTAAAAATCCTAATTCCTATGGAAAAATAATAATGATTAAATATTTATATAAAAATGAAGTAATTGGTGTTTTTGAATAATTTTACAATTAAAGAAATTCGAAAATAAATAATTAAAATTGTTTATCTGTTTTAGCTGTCATCGAAATACAATTTCCGGATAAGGTAACAGATATCTCATCCGTATTAAGTCGTTGGTTCTCTAGTGCATCAGATAGAGAAGGTGGTCGCAGTGACAGGGTCAAAAAAAGTTCTTCAAAATCTGTCGAAGATCAAGCTCCGTAAAACTAAATTTTTGTTAACACTTTTCTTTTTTATTTCAAATTATTTCAAAATATTTCAAAAATGATAAAAGTCATAATTATTATAAAAATAAAGTTTAAAATTTTGATCAATAAATGTTTTATATCCGCTTGAAGACAACTTTTTTTACTCTACAATACCATTAGAAATAATTCTAATTTAATTACTGCGACATAAAATTATTCAGTATCGCACCATTACTGCAGCAGTAGGGGAGAGTGGGGCAAGACGGGGTACTTAAGGTTTAAAGCGCAAAAAAACGAAAATTATCGAATATATACTTTATTATTATTTTTAATTATCATCTTTGAGAATCAGTCTTTCGTAAAAAGGCGTACAAAGGCCATCTGTTTCTTAAAAAAGCTTATAATTAATAATATTGAAAAAATTGCAAATCTCCCCATCTTGCCCCACCGGCGGGTAAGATGGGGTACTCGTAGGGATAAGATGGGGTACTCAAGAAAGCAACCTATTTCTGTCGACAAATTTCACAAGTAAAGGTTGCATCTTCATCTTCATGCATAACTGCAGTGAGCCCATTGGCCGCAGACAAAAAAGCAGCCCAGCCTTCATTTAAGTCTAAATAATAACCATTACAATAGAGACAAGGTGTATTTTCCAGTTTACCATCGCTAATTGATGATTTAACCTGACAAGCTTTTTTCTTTTTGGTCACTCTTATTTTATTCAGTCTTGATTTTAGTAGTTTTCTTAACTTCTCTTATTTCTCTTTTTTTTGCTTAATTTGTGAACCCCGTCTTGTCCCACTTTCCCCTACCCCATCTTGCCCGCACCTACGAAATTAAATAAAACGATGAATTACTACAATTAACGATTCAACAAAAAAAAAAAAAAACAATAGCTTCCCTTCTTCTGTATTCCTTGACAGTTAGAAAAAAATTTATACAGTTTACTAACTGTTATTATTAAGTAATAAACACCTCCTAAAAAAGTGAAAAAATGACAAAAAAATCGTCAAAAACAGTTTTTTTAGTAAAACAGATAAAAGATTTGTTCTCATGGCTTTTAGGTTTTGTAAACAAGAAACTATCGTCTCGGTGCAGTATTATGTAAAATATAATCGCGATTGGTTAATTCGTTTGTTAAATAAGGCTGGTACCCCGTCTTACCCGCTACCCCGTCTTGACCCACTCTCCCCTAATGGGCCACTACTGCACCACTACTGCACCAGTACTGACAGTCAGTACTGCACCAGAGTTGGAAAGCCAGTACTGATTATTGTTATCATCCCGGTATTACAGCAGTGTCGCGCCATTACTGGGTTCTAGTACTACGCCGATACTGCACAGTACTGACCCGTTACCGCGCCAGTTGTTAATTTTTCATTGATAACCAAAGACTTTAACCTGTAAATCATTTTATGGGCTTCAGGTTAAAGGCAAGATTTTTTGTTTGTTTGATAGTTGGTTGTTTTCTTAAAATTTGATACTCATTTTTAAAAAATCACAGCAAGCTTGCTTCAAGCTTGTAAAAACCTTGCAACGCACTTGCAGAAACATTTCCTAATAAGCATGTAGCAATCTTTCCTTTCAATTTTGTAGCAATCTTTAATGAAAACATTGCATGAACCTTTCATAGCAAGATTACAACAACCTTTCACGAAAAGCTTGCTATACAGCGGACATTTTGCTATCTCAGACAAGCTTGCTGCAATTTTGCACTGTAAGCTCGGCAAATTGCTTACGTGTTATCTGGGCGATATAAAAAATAACCAAAAACACATTTTTTTGTCTTTACCCCCACTTTTCTCAAAATTCTAACGAACAAAGTAATTTTAAGACCCTAAATCGTATTCAGACGACAAAAATTCATTGAAAGCCATTCCCATATAAAAATAACGGAAAAAATTGCTTTTTAGTTTGTTACCCACCACTTTTTTCAAAATTCTCCTTTTCTTGGTCTTGTGCATATGGATCTTAAAGTGCAAGATTCGATTTTTAATTTACGATCTCATCGAAGGTTTACCACCCCTACCACGTCAGCTTAACGGCGTTGGAGGTCGAGAACTGTCAGTGTTGCCAACCCACTCTCCCCCACTTTCCTGTATTTTTCCACTCTGTTCACTTTTTAAAAAAAAAGTAAGCAATTAATCAAAAAAGTGGGCCTTTACCTTAAAACAAAATTAAATAAAGAATTAGTAAAAATTTATTTTGTCTCGATACGATGTTTCTACGAGCCACAATATGGTTTTTACCGTTTTTACGATGACAATTTACAGATGTAGGTGACTTGATTTTGGGAAAAAATTGCCGCACAGAAAGGTAGAGTAAAGCGGGTTGCATACGTAAAGGCATAACAGTATGATAAAACAGGGCAGTAACTTTTAGTTTGTTGAAAATTATAAAAATAATGTTTTGCAATAATAAAAACTAATATAAAGAATATAAATAAAGGGATTTTTGTTTATAAAAATATACATAATATAAAATATGTTAAATTAAAACGAAAATTATGAAAAACCATTATGCCACCATTATGTATTCTTAACTACTATTTTTTCAAATTATGTAATTAGGTTTAATTTTATGTACATATAGTTCCTTGGTGGGCTAACAGCCCTAGGAGCTTGATTTCTTTAAATAAATAAATAAATAAATAAATAAAAACATTTTTTTAAATTTTGTTATTCATTAAAATAATTTTTTAAAAAGATTAAAAATTAAAATTGCTAATTAGTACCTCTAGAGGTACAATTTATTAAATTGTAATTAATAAATATATTAAAAATGACAAATATACAGAATTTTGAAAAATTACATAAATTATTTCTAAAATTTATTAAATTTTTTGTATTATTTTGGAAAATTAGTTAATTAGTAATTGGAAAATTAGATAAAATTAAAAATTATTTATTAATTACAAAATCATAAAAAAAGTATTAATTTTTACCTTATATATTTGTTAAATTATCTTTAATCATGTTTTCTAGTCTATAAACATTTATTTATTTTATTCCTTTGTATGAAAATAATTAATTTAATTATGTTTTTTCATTCCTCAATTATATGAGATATTAAAAGAAATTTGGCGCTAATAAATTTTCTATTATAAAACAATAATTACTTATTCTACTAAATCCCTTTCTATAGGCGACCAGGTCATAAGTTTATTTCCGACATCAAAGCTGTCAATTTGTATAACGAAAATAATATTGACGCTCGTAGAAACATCGTATATTATTACAAAGGGGCCGTACACATAATACGTCACGCGGCTAGGGGGAGGGAGGGGGTCTGAGAATTGTGACTAAGTGTGACATGGGGGAGGGGGGGTGAACTCATGTGTTACGTCACAATCTTTTAAATTCAAAGATTATAAGAAATTATATGTGACAATGTCACTTTTTCTAAATAAAACAAGTTAAAAATGCTTTAAACTATTTAATATCTATTATGTACCTATTTAACATCTATTGGTTTATTACACAGCCACACAAAAAAAATAAAGTGTCTTGATCTGGGGTCGAGACATATGTATTCCGATGTATTTCGATGCGCTGAATCCGAATCCGCCATCAGAATTTGGCCAATGGGTCCTGGTTTCGCCCTAATCTCAAAAAATGCCCTAAAATCGTTAAAATGGTCACTTTTAATTTATCAAAATTAAATCTAACCACATATTGTTAATTTTCTAAGATCCCTTAATTTAAATAAACTATTCTATCAGCTTTTTAATTCCAATTTCATATAAAACATTAAATCTACCGAACCTAACCTCAAAAACACATCTAAGATTCCAAACAAACAAATTATACCATACACAGCGCAATAAAAAATAGGTAAGCTCATGAAAGTTCCAACTTACGTGTTTCTATGACTGCTGATTACGAAGCCGGTGTTAGTTTATCAAAATTCAAAATGGCGGATCCAATATGGCGACCGATATAATTAAAATTGGTTTGGATTAGCTTGAAAATCGTTACTCGGGGGCTTATGGGGTCGCTGATGACGAATCCCATGTCGGTTTCTAAAAATTCAAAACGGCGGATCCAATATGGCGGTCTTTATTATTTTAACGATTTTTTTAAATTTATTACTCGCGGATTTTTGGGACCTTTGATAACGATTCCTATATCAATTTTTATTACCTTAAAGTCTTACGAATTGTTTTCTAACAATTCTTTCTAACAATTCGTAAGACTTTAAGATTATAAAAATTGATATACGATTCGTTATCAAAGGTCCCGAAAAACCGCGAGTAATAAATTTAAAAAAATCGTTAAAATAATAAAGACCGCCATATTGAATCCGCCATTTTGAATTTTTAGAAACCGACATGGAATTCGTCATCAGCGACCCCAAAAGCCCCCGAGTAACGATTTTCAAGCCAATCCAAACAAATTTTAATTATATTGTTCGCCATATTGGACCCGCCATTTTGAATTTTGATAAACTAACACCGGATTCGTAATCAGCAATCATAAAAACACCTAAGTTGTAACTTTCATGAGTTTACATAATTTTTATTGCGCTGTGTATGGTATAATTTGTTTGTTTGGAAGCTTAGATGTGTTTTTGAGGTTAGGTTCGATAGATTCAATGTTTTATATGAATTTTGAATTAAAAAGCTTATAGAATAGTTTATTTACATTAAGGAATCTGAGAAAATTATCAATATGCGGTTAGATTCAATTTGATAAATCAAAAGTGACCAATTTAATGATTTTAGGGTATTTTTTGAGGTTAGGGCGAAACCAGGACCCATTGGCCAAATTCTGATGGCGGATTCGGATTCAGCGCATCGAAATACATCGGAATACATATGTCTCGACCCCAGATCAAGACACTTTATTTTTTTTGTGTGGCTGTGTTATTTATAATATAATATGATAAATAATATATTCTCTTAATTTGAATCAGTTAAAAATCTTGGTTTTAACTGACAATCAGCAGTGACTGACTTTTTGCTTCTGAATCAGTTAAAAAAATAACTGAAAAATTATCCACAAAACACCGAAACTT